GTCGATTTCAGCACAATCTGGAACAACCCCAGAATGACGCACCAGCCACCGTAGCTGCCTTAGAGGGGATCTGCGATACTAGCTAACAGTTACGACTGCCGATGTCTGTACATTCTTGTAATGTATTTGATATTAAAAAAAAAAAAAAAAAAAAAAAAAAAAAAAAAAAAAAAAAAAAAAAAAAAAAACGCTTGCTGGGCAGGCGCTTTGATTTTTCTAGGAATATCAGTACTGATCGGGCGGCGCGAGAAATGCAATCACAAGTAACCCAATCAGATATGACCCGATCAAAGCAGAGCCGATCAGAGACGGTTCGCCTCTGATTGCCCCGATCAGAGTCGATCAATAACTTCTGCGAAGCTAAGGTGGCGATTTCGGGCAATCGGGGGCAATCACTTGATCGCGATCAATTCATCGCCCCAACTCGATCAACCGCCTAAAACAGCCCAATCAAACACAACCCCACACAATCACCGACGATCAGTTGATTGCGTTGGTTTGGGGTACCATTGTCAGAATATGTTGTTTGTGTAGCCTGCAGTGGGGCACTCTATAGTGAGTACAGCCCCTTAGGGTTTGCCATTTGTATCCTGCTGCTTGCTAGTTCAATCATTCCTTCTCAATTCTGTTCCTGCACACAATCCTAGCTCGTACTTGGCTCCTCGTTACTAGTCCTACTGTGGCCTAGGCTACTAAGCCTAGGCCGTACTCCTACTACTTCTGACATGGTATTAGAGGGCGGCATGTCTGCCGCCTTCCTGTGTATGGGCCCACCACCCGCTTCCGCTGCCGTACTGTCCGCCGCGCGCCCCGTGGTGCGCGGCGGCGAAACCCTAATTTCTGCCCGCCGCGCGCTCGGGGCGCCTGGCGGTTTTCCCTTCCGTGGCGCCCGTCGTGGTGCCCTTGGGGGGGCCTCCGCGGTCCCCTCCCGTCGAAGCGCCCGTCGAGGCGCTCTCGGGGACCCGCGCGGCCTCCCCCCCCGTCGCCCGTCGAGGCGACCTCGGGGACCCGCGCGGCCTCCCCTCCCGTCGCCCGTCGAGGCGACCTTGGGGGCCCGCGCGGCCTCCCCACCAGTCGCCCGTCGTGGCGACCACGGGGGCCGCGCGCGGTCCCCTCCCGTCGCCCGTCGAGGCGACTTCGGGGGCCGTGCGCGGCGCCCTCCCCGTCGCCCGTCGTGGCGACTTCGGGGGCCGTGCGCGGCCCTCCCCGTCGCCCGTCGAGGCGACTTCGGGGGGCCCGCGCGGCGCCCTCCCCGTCGCCCGTCGAGGTGGCTCTGGGGGCCCGTCGCGGCGCCCTCCCTGGTGCCCGTCGCGGCGCCCCGGGGGGGGCCGCGCGGCTCCCTTCTCGTCGCCCCTCGGGGCGCCCTGGGGGCCGTGCGTTTTCCCCCCCCGCGGCCGCCCCTGGAGCCGCCCGCCACTGCAGCAGCAGCCCCTGGAGCCGCCCGCACCTGCAGCAGCCGCCCCTGGAGCCGCCCGCCAGTGCAGCAGCCGCCCCTAGAGCAGCCCGCACCTGCAGCAGCCGCTCCTGGAGCAGCCCACACTTGCAGCAGCCGCCCCTGGAGCAGCCCGCACCTGCAGCAGCCGCCCCTGGAGCAGCCCGCACCTGCAGCTGCCGCCCCTGCAGAAGCCCGTCCCCCCCCCCCCCCCCCCCCCCCCCCGTGCTGCCCATTGCTCCCATTCCACCGTGCGTTCCGCGGTGGTTGGGGTGTGGGGTGGCGAGCATGGGGGTGAGAGGTGTGGGTTCTCCCCTCCTCTTTTTTCGTCTCCCACTGCTGTAGCTGCCGCTGAGGGGGGTGGAGGTGTGGGAGTCGTGGGGAGTGGCACTAGGGGGGTGATGTGGGAATGGAGCTAGGGGTGAAACAGGGGGTGTGTGAGAGGGGTGTGGGACTGTTGGGGGAGGTTGAGTGGAGGCTGCTGTCTTGTCGTCCGCAGCACCTGTAGTCCGGGGTGCACTGTCCTGGTAGCTCAGAGAGCCTGCTGCACCTGTTGCCCGTGGGTCCGTTGCTCCTGCCGCTCGTCGCAGCCGCAGAGCCTGTTACTCCTGTATTCCGGGACGCACTGTCTCGGTAGCCACTGAGAGGCTGCTGCACCAGTCGCCCGTGGGTCCGTTGCTTCTGCCGCTCGTCGTAGCCGCAGAGCCAGTTACTCCAGTATTCCGGGGCGCTCTGTCTCGGTAGCCACTGTGTCAGCCGCCACTGTGTCAGCCGCTTCTGTTGCCCGTGTGTCTGCAGCTTCAGTCGTCGCCTCCCATCTTCTCTCCTTTCATAGTCCCTCCTCCTCCTCACTTGCCCTCTGTGATAGCCTCTAGCTTTGCTGATAATTATGAACTATTGTTATGACTGCTCATTGTGCAGATTACACCCCACTTTGGCTATGGGGGTGTGTCAGAATATGTTGTTTGTGTAGCCTGCAGTGGGGTACTCTATAGTGAGTACAGCCCCTTAGGGTTTGCCATTTGTATCCTGCTGCTTGCTAGTTCAATCATTCCTTCTCAATTCTGTTCCTGCACACAATCCTAGCTCGTACTTGGCTCCTCGTTACTAGTCCTACTGTGGCCTAGGCTACTAAGCCTAGGCCGTACTCCTACTACTTCTGACAACCATGCGACGGTCACGAAAAGTTACGGTGTTGTGCTAGGTTTCGTTAAGTTTTCGCTCAAACAACTACCCTGGGAAGAATTTTCTGGACGCGCCTACATTTCGCTTGTTTATGCGAAGTTACAGGGAAACAGTAAAAATCGCTACATCCATGGCCAGGCCTTCGCCCTCGCCAAAAAGGGTTGCACGCTTGACGTGCACCCTCGTTGAATGCTCGAGGAAAGTTTAATCTGATCGGGCGGCGCGAGCAATGCAATCAGAAGCAACCCGACCCGACCAGATCAAAGCAGATCAGAGGCGAACCGTAACACGTCCTAATTTGACATTGTTCCATGCTCGTCAGGTATTTGGAGTGACGAACCAACTTATGCCCCTTTATTTACAGCGCGGCCATGTAATCCAAATCCCGTGAGACATTTTGCGCCGTAAAAATACCCCCGATCAGGTGTAGATCTTTTGTGTCCTTTCCTTCCTGTCCCAGCCGTTCTCGAGTCAGTGTGTCTTGCGAGACGCTATCTGCACGCGTGAAAGGAAACTTGTGTACAGTTCAAATTTCTCATTTGGCCAGCGGCATTGCGGCAACCACATCGAACGAGTGCTACAGTATACAAGACTAAAGGTTGTGTACAGTATAGTCCAAATTTCGCATTTGGCCAGCGCATTGCGGCAACCACATCAAACGAGTGCTACAGTATACAAGACTAAAGGAGGTGAGCCTACGAGATATCAGTCAGTGGGCAGCCAAGGGCGCCTCACATTGAGCGAACATGCAATTGGAAAGGCCCCCTCAGGGGTGAGCTTCGGTACAATATGCAATTGGAAAGGCCCCATCAAGTCAGCGCAAGGTTGGCACCGTGCTGTATTAGCAGTACTAAGGTTCTACTCATCACAATTCTAGCCTCAGAATCTCCCGCCCCCTAGAAACACATGAAACTGCCAAGCTAGTGCCACTAGTTGCCATCCCTCTCCCATTGCCACCCGCCGCCCTCTCGCAGTGTCAGCGCTTGTAGCCATCAAGTCCGCGCTGGGTTTGACGTTCCCCAGCTGGTCACTCACTACTACCCCCAGCTGCGTTGTCCCTCCTGCGACGACCTCGATTACTGACTGGGACAGAATCTCCTGCTCCAGTGGCGGGGACGTGACTGCAATGTAAGCCGGGCAGTGCTGTGCTCTCAGCTGCGTGCTTTCTGTCGTTTCATGTCTGATTAGCCCTTAAGCAATTGTTTTTTCGTTTTGATCAATAACGTAGGCCTAATTTTAGTGTGTGTGTGCGTGTGTGTGTGTGTGTGTGTGTGTGTGTGATTGAGTGCGTGCATGCGTGTGTGAGCGCGCGTGGGCATGCGTGCGGGCGTGTGTGTGCGGGTCCGATTCGGATTTGTGTGCGTGATTTTCTGACAGTGATTTGTCTTATGTCTGGATAGTCCGCAAGGACCTCCCCAGCGAATTGACCGTACTTTCGGCGCTCACTTCATTGTGAGTAGACACCCTTTACGATGCTTTGCTCCCTAGATGATACATTATACTGATCCACGATATTGTTTTGCCCTGAGACCTGTCTCTGCCACGGTCTTGCTCGCAGATCGATGTATAAAAACCTGCTGGACGGCAACATGGGGATTTACGTCAAGTATCTCACTCGCCTCTCGGCCCTCCAAAGCTTGTGAGCATCCGTGGTTGCTGTTGTCCATGCTCTACTGCTGCCCCTACAAGTCTACAACCATCAGTCCAACCATCCATCAAATATATCCATCCATCCATCCATCCATCCATCCATCCATCCATCCATCCATCGCCCTGCGATAATTTCCACCGTTTTTTTCTCAGCGATAATTTCCCTGACCGCAAGTTTCAACCCTGCTCCCTCTCTCCCTCCCTCTATCCCTTCTCCCCTCCTTTCCTCCCTCCCTCCCTCCCTCCCTTCCATCCATCCATATCGGTTTCGTCTTTCCTTGTTGCCGTGCGCCCTTTCATCATTTTGCTACTATTTCCTCGTTCTTCCCTGATAGGAACATGGCCAGATCGTATTTCTCTGGACAGTTCCCAAGCTTCCTCCTAGACTCAACGAGCCTTACTGCTCTGTACGTACACTTATCAATTCTTTTCAAGTTGTCCGATCCTTTTTGCCATCCCGTCTTCCCCCCATATCTCTTCCTCCCATATCCTCGCTCCCTCACCTCTTCGCCCCCAAATCCCTCCCCCTACTCCCCCCCACACCCCAGATCAGTTCTACTACGATCTTCCCGCACTCAAAACCCCCAATCCCCCCCTCTCCAACACACCCCCACAGGGACTTCTCATACAACTACCTCACGGGCTCCCTCCCATCCACCATCACCAAGATCAAGTCGCTCCAGATCAACAACAACTTCCTCGTGGGCTCTCTGCCGTCCGCCACCTGGACCTCATGCTTCATCTACAACAACTGCCTTACATCCTTCGGCACGTGCACTGGCAACAGTCAGCGTCTCAGTTCCACCTGTGCCATTTGCGGCAGACTGATGGCACCGGCACGCTGTGTATCCCGGGGCAGTCGTGCGAGCCGGATGACGACGCGAGAATGGCCACCTGGGTTATGAACTACCAGTCTGGAGACGTGGCACTGAGGTGTAAAGCCGTTAGCAGCGTTCTCATTGAACCTACTCAGGGTGAGTGCGCCACACGTAGCTCAGATGGCCTGCTGCCACCACACCTGCTATTGTGCTCCTGCACCCTTGCACTCTCGCTCTGTTGCAATCTTGCGCTCTCGCGATCTTTCCCTCTTGCATGCTCTGGAGTTTTGCACTCTTGCATTGTATTTTCTTGCACTCTTGCATGCACATATCCGTGCACTCTCACACTCCTGTAGCACTCCACAACACTCTTGCACACTCGTTCTCTCACACTCTTGCACTTTTGCACCCTCGCACTCTTGCAAATATCTTCTCACTCTCTTTTTCGTGCTTCCCTCTTTACCCGCCGGACCCTCCTTCATCTCTTGGCAGCCAATGCAATGCTGGCGTTGAAGACAGCTTTGGGTGTGACCGTCACCACGTGGGCCTCCACCAACCTCTGCCGCATCACCGAGATATCAACGCCCGTTCAGAACGAGTGGACTGGCGTGTACTGCAATTTCGCCGGCTCTGTGGAGTCCATGTGAGTGGGCAGCATTGTAGCGGGGTAGTGGGGCAATGGGGCAGGGACACAGGTAAGCATGGGGTGGGAACCGCACAGAGTGTGAACTGTTGTTGCAAACCAGTCCAACCCTTTGTCACCTTTCCTGGCAGGTGTGTGCTTGAAGTATTGAATCGTGACTCTTCACAGCAGGATTTCATTGCTAAAAAGAGAAAAATGAATGGGGGGGTGGGGAGGGGGGCAGACAGGTGACCTTTCAGCCGGCCTCTATCACCTTCCTCTATCATGGAGCAATGAAGCTGTGGGGCACTGGTTGGGCACTTGGTGGAAACCGCGCGGAACATAATTGATAGCCAATCGTTCCAACATTTTGTGTCGAGTACTCTTTACAGCAGTTTTTCAAACTAGATGGAGACGACAAAAGGAGGAGGGACGGGAGCAACCGACAGCTGACCTTTCAGCCAGCCTCTCTCACCTTCCCTGCACACCCATCTGTCTGCCTCTTCCCATCACCCCCTACAGCTCCGTGGCACGTCAGAATTTAAAGGGGTCTTTTCATTCGGACATCTCCAAGCTCACCGCACTCACTTACCTGTAAGGGTGAATCAGGGAGTGCACAGACAGGAGTCTGTAACGCACGTACAGACATACAGGGAAGACTGCACTGCAACGGGAATACCTGACTGTAGTGTTCTCGTGTTCTGCAACTCAAGACCAGCCTGCTGCTGCTGGCGGGGTCCCATGGCCAGTCATTTGGGCACAGGGTAAGGGAGATGGGAAGGGATACGGACGGACAAGTTTTTTGCTCTCATCACATGTCCATTGTGGGCGGCCCTCCTTCGCCCCCCAGAAAAGGCGAATCTGCATGCATGCGTGCATCTGCGAAAGAAAGGGTGAATCATGCTGCTGATGTGATGCTCTCACAGAATGGCCTTAGTAAGTAGCGTCTCTCTCTCTCTCTCTCCAAGCCAGCCTGCCTACAAAACAACTGTTCCCTTCCAGACGTGTGATCCACGAAACTTAATTTCTCCCCCACCTTCCTCAGGGATCTCGGCTACAACCTTTTTCGAGGCAGTCTCGAAGGGTTTGCCACACCAATCAAAGCCATGACCACTCTAAAGGCGCTGTGAGTACCTTTTCCTCTATAAGGGCTGTAAAAACGTTCTCATCAGCGGTTATGCGCACTGCGTGTATGATATACAAGCCATGCTGAGCTCCAATTCCGGTATCATTGTGCATCCCTTCCTCTGGCCGTTCTCAATATGCGTTTTTTTGTGGACCTATCATGTCCTTCCCTCCTGGTGCATTCCTTCTCCCCCCCCCCACAGCCTTTTCAGCTACAACTGGTTTGACGGATCCATTCCCTCCACCATTGCCTCTCTGCCTCGGCTCACCACACTGTAAGCCATACTAGACATCAAATATGAGCACGCGCCAAACTTCGTTGAACTGCTCTCATGGTCAGTCGGAACCGGTTCGGTTCAACCCGGACCTTGTTAGACCCAAAGGGCTCGAGGTTTGGCAGCACAGTATCCAGCATGTCTAGGTGGCATGAGGCTCGTCATTGCCTCTCTGCCCAAACCATGCAGAAGCCTCGTTGCTGGCCATTCTTCTCATGCCTGTAAGCGGCTAGCCTCCCTTGTCTTTTTCACATATCGCTTTCGTCTTTCTCTAATGATCCACGCCTGCTCCCCACTCCCTGCCTCTCTCCCCCCACCCTCCTCCCCCCCCCAATTCCCCCAGAGGCCTCTTCTCCAACTACCTCACGGGCACCATGCCCATCCCCTCCACCTCCCTGGCCTCTCTAGACGTAGGCTTTAACTACCTCTCGGGCTCCTTCCCCAAGCTCTCCCTCGCGGTCTGTGCGGCTGACCAGAACTGCTTCCTCAGCTCCTCCTACTGCCGCTCCTATGGCGCGCTGCAGCGCCCCGCCGCTGCCTGCGCCATCTGCGGCACGACCGACGGGCAGGGAACGCTGTGCCCTGGTGGACTTTGCTCCGCCAACAGCTCTGTGCCAGTCAGCCAGGGCATTGTCAATACCCCCTCGGTGCCGCCGGTGTCCTTGACTTGTGGTAATGGTGCGTGTTGCATGTTGAGCGGCAGAGAGGATAGGGGACACATTAGGAGATGATGGAGCGCAAGCAAATGACACGCTCTGTCAAGGAATGATATGATGTGGCCTGGCAAGGGGGGGGGGGGGGGGGGGGGGGGGGGGGGGGGACGCCACCATTCAAATCTGGATGCAACACCTCCATCTGTTTGTATGTTCATTTTACATCAATGTTTTCTGAAAATTCTGATTGAAGTATTTTCTACCTGAATCTTGTCTGACTGACTGTAATGTCGGTTCGTGCCTCTGACTCTTCCCCCTGGTGCCCATACAGGAGGTGCTCCCACAGTCCTCATGAATGCTGCCTCAGGTGGGCCTTTTTTCTTAAAGCCAATATCCTTTTTCCTCCCACTCTCTTTCTGCACTCTCACTCACTCCCGGCACCACCAATCGAGTAGCACACATACCTGCATACATCTACCACATCATCTCTCTCAATTCTTATTCAATCGTGCTTAATCCACCCTCCCCCAATTTACCCTTTCCCTCCCCATTCTCTCCATCCATTGTCCGCGATGCTATCCGTCAAGTCATCCCTGGGTTTGACGTTCACGAATTGGGTCTCCTCCTCTCTTTGCCCTGCGGGCGGTGGATTTCTCCCGGGGGGAGTCACCACCTGGAATAATGTTCAATGCGTCCTGGATGGGGCACCCAAGCAATTGTAAGTTCCTGAACAAATTATAATATTACAAATGTTTCAAACAATCGCGGAGCAATCACATACTTGTATTTGAGTCTGCTCTGCATGTCCCTGCTAGGCTCCTGTTAACATGTCCACTGCAGGAAGCTGCACTACCTACCAATATCTCGTATTAGCACCGCTCTAGAAGCAGTCTTGGCATAAGACCTGGGGTATATCACCACAAATGGGACGGCTCACTCACACTCTTTGCACTTCATGTGTGGGTCCATAAGCCATGCATATGGTTAGAATTATTCCACTGCTCCCCACCCGTTGTACATTCAATTCAATTGTCCGCAGGTACTTAGCAGGCATGGCACTGAAGGCCACCAGCCTGCCTGCTGACATGTCCAAGCTCACTGCCCTCACATATCTGTCAGTCTCTCTCAAACGGTCCTTTGTATCATAGTGGCCTTACATACATGCAAACTTCCAGATATAGTAAAGTAGGGACATTTTCATGCAACTTCAACTCCTGTTTCTCTCTCTCCTCACGCAGTGTGTGATGTTCCTCTGCCTCTGCTGCCACGCGATTTCATGCCATCTGCTCTTATTCCGCGTCACGCCATGTGCTGCCATGCATGCCATGCCATGCCATGCCATGCGTGTACTGCCTGTGTTCCCATCCGCCTGCCCTCAATCAGGAGTCTTGAAATGAATCTCCTAAATGGCCGCTTGGAAGACTTCGCGTCCAGCCTCAAGGGGTGCACAGCTCTACAGTTTTTGTGAGCCGTCAAGTCAAGAGCATATGAGCAGTCAAGGCAGCATCATGTGATCAGTCAAGAGCATATAAGCAGTCGCATATGAGCAAGAAATCAAGAGCATGTGAGCAGTCAGGAGCATTTGAGCAGTCAAGAGCAGGTGAGCAGTCAAGAGCAGGTGAGCAGTCTAAAGCATGGAAGTAGTCAAGAGCGTGCGAGCATGCAACTTTAGTACCGTATAACGTACAACATGACTGATGAAGTGGTAAGAGGCCACAAAAGTAACACAATTTTCTGAGAAGGAAGATTCACGTCACTGGCATACTAGTTCTTTCACATGTCCACGGGCACTGAACTTGCTGCTCTCTCGAGACAATGACGCATCAGGAAGAGTGTCAGTTTTGACTGAGCGAGTGAGTGTCATCAATCAGACCACTAACTCCCCTGCCATGCACTCGGCAGATTTCTGAATTACAACTACATGTACGGCTCAGTCCCCTCGTACCTCGTGAATCTCCCAGCACTCAAAGAGCTGTAAGTACCATCATGCCATACCTTTCATATTCTCTTGACCTTGCCAGCTACCCTCACTTTTATGCAATCCCTGGTTATAATCAACAAGCCCGTACCTGACTTCTACCACCCTCGCGCGAGAGCGCGACGTCGACCCTCCGTCGACCCGATTTCAACCAGGTAGCTTTGCTGCCCCAGGCCGAAAAAACTAAAACCCCTAGGGAAAGCCATGCAACATGGGAGAGATCAACCCTAACCCCCACCCCCCACCTCCCCCCCCCCCCCCCCCCCCCCCCTCCTCCTCCCCTCCCCCCCCCCCCCCCTCCTCCTCCCACCCCCCCCAATCCTTCTCCTCTCGTCAGGTACCTGTATAACAACTTCCTCACAGGTAGCATCCCAGCCCTGGGTTCAAACTTGAAGGTGCTCGATTTCTTTACCAATTACATTACAGACATCGCCACACACTCACTCAACACCTGCACCGGCGCTAACAACTGCCTCACTGTTCCCTCCAAGTGCAACTATAACGGAGCCACCCAGAAATCTGCTGCTAGTTGCGCCATCTGTGGCACTACCAACGGCGTCGCTCCCCTGTGCTTTGGTGGTGGTGGGGAGTGCGTGGCTGCAGCTGCTTCTTACGTTGAAGCTGGCGCACTGAACAGAATGTTTTCCCCCGCTTCCCCACCCATGCTCTGCTCAAGGTAATGTGCCTTAACCCTCCGCGTGGGTCCACACTATCTTTAGGTACCTCAGCAGTGGTGAATGTTCTTGCTGCTTTCCTCAGTGGTGCTTGTGTCAAGATGTTCTCCATACGCGTGCACCCGTCTTCTCCTTCTTTGTCTTCTTCCGCTGCTGGTGCTGCTTCGGCTGCTGCTGTTGAGTGATGATTGTGATTCACTCACCTTCCTATCTTCGTTAAAAACTCCTTGCGCTTTACTCCTGCAGGCGGTCTTCTAGCTGACATTCCATCTACCAGCACCTCAGGTGCGTGGGGGCTACTACTAGTATTGTCCCAATCACAAAGCGTCCATGCCCCATCCATAAGTCGTGCATAGTTTTTGGTGTTTCTCTCGATGCCTGGTCCCAATGCACTTTTCTCTGCCGCTCTCTGTCCTCATTCTCCTAACTCTCCCTCTACTAACACTTCCCTCCCCCCTCTCTCTCCCCTCTCTCTTACCCTCCCCCATCGCCAGCACTGCTGGCGCTCAAGGCATCGCTGGGAGTGACGTTCACCTCGTGGGCAGCAAGTGTGCCGTGCCAAGTGGCCGGCAAGCAGGCTGCCACACAGACCACGTGGTCCGGCGTGCTCTGTGGCGATACCGGGGACGTGCTTTCCATGTGAGCTCCCATGCATGCATGCTAAAGCTTTGTGGGCGGGTAGGAGGGGGTCAGACAGGTAACCAGCCGGCCTCTATCCACTCCTTCTACACCCACCCTTCTACCTCTTCCCATCGCCCCCCCTCAGCTCAGTGGCGCGTCAGAGTCTAACGGGGTCTATTGATTCGGACATCTCCAAGCTCACCGCACTCACTTACCTGTAAGTGTGAACTTGGGGGCACACACACAAGAACATGGGACACATGCACACACAGACAGGCTGACTGCATTGCAAAGGGAATGCCTAGTTGTCGAGTCAAGTGCCTTGGTGCCACACACCAAGGACAGGAAGTTTCTGGATCTCCAATTGAAGACCACCCTGCTGCTGCTGGCGGCTGGCCCATGACCACCAGTCGTTTGGGCACGGGGCAAGGCAAGGGAGGTGGGAACGGACATGAACATACCAGTATTGTTCTATTATCACGTGTCCATGGTGAACGGCCGTCCTTCGCCCCCAAGTCATTAGTGTCCTTCGCTCCAACCCATCTTGCGACCTGCCTACAGCACAACTCTTCCCTTCCAGACATGCGCTTCACATTCTTGTTTCTCCCCCACCTGCTTTAGGGATTTCGGCTACAACCTTTTTCAGTTTGGTCTCACAGGGTTTGCCACACCAATCAAAGACATGACCTCTTTAAAGGCGCTGTAAGTACCTTCTCCTCTATAAGAGCTGTAAACTCGTTCCAATTATTGCTTATGTGTAGTGTGTGGTGTTTGCATAGTAAAGCCAAGCTTCCTCTGGCCGTTCTCAAAATGCATTCTATGTGGACCTCTCGTTCTCTTCTCTTCTGGTGCATCCCTGCTTCTAACCTCCAGCTTCTTCAACAACAACTGGTTCTCGGGAACCATTCCCTCCTTCATCGCCTCCCTGCCACAGCTTACCACCCTGTAAGCCAAACACACAGCTTCTAGAATCCGCAGATGCATGCTTCTAGAAGCCACCCTGTGGAGCCTCATTACAGGCCTTCCTGGTCTCACCCTCTCCTCTATCACATCTGTGCTGTTTCTTCCGTTTCCTGTGCTCGCCTCTCCACCCCCCCCCCTCTGTACCCCCCAGAGGCCTCTTCTCCAACTATTTCACGAGCACCATGCCCACCCTCTCCACCTCCTTGGTCGCTCTGGACGTGAGCTTTAACTTCCTCTCGGGCTCCTTCCCCCAGCTCTCTCTCAAGAGTTGTGCGGCCGACCAGAACTGCTTCCTCAACTCCTCCTACTGCCGCACCTACGGCGCGCTGCAGCGCCTCTCCTCTGCCTGCGCCATCTGCGGCACGACCAACGGGCAGGGAACGCTGTGCAGTGGTGGAATGTGTTTTGCCGACAGCTATTTGCCAGTCAGCCAGGGAATCGTCAACGTCCCCTCGTTGCCGCCGGTGGCCTTGACTTGTCCAGGTGCGTGTTGCGTGTGGACGGGCAGGGCACGCTGTGCTCTGGTGGACTTTGCTCCGCCAACAGCTCTCTGCCAGTCAGCCAGGGGATTGTCAACGTCCCCTCGCTGCCGCCGGTGTCCTTGGCCTGCCAGGGTTTGTGTCGCTTGTTGATGGCAGAGAGCAGAGGATATACGAAAAGAGCACAATGGAAACGCCAACTTAAGGACGGGGTCGAGGAATTGATATGACGTGGCCGGGCATGTGGTGGACCACCACCATTGAAATAGGAGTGCAGCGCTCTGCCTGTTTCTTGCTCAAGGCCACCATCCATCTACATGTCCCTTTTACATCAAAATTCCCCCAGTCATTCTCCACGTTTTGCAGCTATTTTCCACCTGAATTCTGTCCAACTGTTCTGCTGGTTCGTGCCTTACTGTTCTCTATGTGTATTGGTACAGGGAATGCTCCTCTAGTCCTCATGAACGCTGGCTCAGGTAGGCCTTCCCTCCTAACGCCATCACCAATACCCCTCCCACCCTCTCCCTGCACTCCACATATTTCCTGCACTTACCAATCAAATTGCATCCTTTGCCCGTGCATATGTCTTCCTCCACATTCCCTCTCTCAACCCCTCCCCAAATCGTGCTTAATCCGTCCTCTTCCGCCTTTCTCTTCACCCCCGGAATCTCTTCATGCAGTGTCCACGATGTTATCCATCAAGTCATCCCTTGGATTGACGAGCACAACGTGGGATGCATCCCTTCTCTGTGTTGCGGGCTTCGGCAATACCCCGTTCGGAGTTACCACCTGGGATCGTGTTCTTTGCTCCGTTGGCGGATCACCTTTACTACTGTAAGTGCTCCAAGAACACACGTCTGTGTGAGTGTTCCAAAAAATCATAAGTTGCAAGTATTTCAAACAACTTGAGGCATACCAATGGGCTGCCCCACTCTTCGCACTTCATCTTTCCATCCATCCATCCATACGGTTAATTTTCTCCCACTGCTCCCTATCCGTTGTACCACATGCACTTGTCTGCAGCAACTTCAACATCTTGTCTTTGAAGGTCGCCACCCTGCCTGCTGACATGTCCAAGCTCACTGGACTCACGGATCTGTCAGTCCCTCTCCTCAAACATGGAAGCATCTCTGCCTGCTGTTTCTATGCCTCTGATGCCTTGCCACGTCATGCCATGTGCTGCCATGCCACGTCATGCATGTACTCTCTGTGTTCCCATCCGCCTGCCCTCAATCAGAGTACTTCAACAAAATCTTCTCACCGGCCGCTTGGAAGACTTCGCCTCCAGCCTCAAGGGGTGTACATCTCTAAAGGAACTGTGAGCTGTCAAGAGCATGTGTGCAGTCACAATTATGTGAGCTTGAGCTTGTACGTTGAACAACATTGCCGTTGAAGGGGTAGTAATCCATGCACTTGTCTGCAACTGGAGGAAAATCAGCTTCACCATAAGAGCGTATTCATGTCCTGGCATATTGATTTCACATATCAACAAGCAGTACCCTTGCCGCATAGTTAAAGGGATGCAAGGGACAAACATTCATCTGGAAGGAGAGTTTGCTGCTCTCTCAGAACTATGATTTTGCTTCTCGAATCTGAGTGTCGATAGGAGCAGGTTCAATTGCAGCAAGCTGCACTTCGTCAGCCTGAGTGAGTGTCATTAATCTGGCCACCAACTATCCCGCCCTTCACTTGGCAGATCACTAGATGGCAACTATCTCTACGGCTCAGTCCCTTCGTACCTCGTGAATCTCCCAGCACTCACAAATCTGTAAGTAGCATCATGCCGTACCATACCTTACCTTCAAATATATGGCTTTCAGACCCTTTCCATTCTCTCAACTGTGCTTCTTGTCTCCCCTCCCTCCCCTCATACACAACCCCTCGTCACATACCCTTCTGTACCCCCACTCTCATCTCCTCAGAGGGCTCAGTGCTAACTTCCTCACTGGAAGCATCCCAGCCATGGGTACAGCCTTGAAGTCGCTCTACATCGCATACAACTACATTACGAACGTCGCCACCCATTCACTCACCAACTGCGGCGGCTCTATGAACTGCGCCTCCAATCCCTCCAAGTGCGCCTCTGACGAGACCACCCAGCGACCTGCTGCTGAGTGCGCCATCTGTGGCACTACCAATGCCGTCGCTCCCTTTTGCTGGGGCGCCGGCGGAGAGTGTGTGGTCGCTGCTGCTGATAACATTGCAGCCGGCAAACAGAATATAGTATACCTCCCGCCTGCCCCACCCATGGTCTGCTCAGGTAACGTGCCTTAACCCTCTGTGTGGGTACCACACTCTCCTTAGCCACCTCACCTCAGCGTTGGTGCAGCAGGCTTGGGTGTGTCTGGGATTGGATGTTTTCACATAAATGAATCTGCGTGGTGCCTTTTGAGTGGTGTGTCTGTCCAGTTGTTTTCCATACTCGTGCACCCTTCTTGTTTTCCTCTTCTGCTGCTGCTTCGGCTGCCAATGATGATGATGATGATAATGGTGATGATGATGATGTTGTTGTTGTTGTTGTTGTTGTTGTTGTTGATGATGATGATGATGATGATGATGATGATGATGATGATGATGATAATGATGATGATGATGATGATGATGATGATGATGATGACGATGACGATGACGATGACGATGACGATGACGATGACGATGATGACGATGATGATGATCATCGTGATTCACTCACCCGCCCACTTACCCTCTGTACGGGCCAAAACCTCCCTGTGACCGACTGTGCAGGCGGTCCTATAGCAGCCGTGCCATCTACCAGCGCTGCAGGTGTGTAAAGGCTGCTCCTTGTCTTGCATTTTCATCCATGCACACGTAAGGTTTTGGTGGTTTCTCTTCTCAATTTTCTTCCAATGTATTTCTCTCCACATCTCTCTTAATCCTTGTACTTCCCCCCCCTTTCCAACTCCCCAATCTGTCTCTATCTCCTCCCACCCCCACCCTTCCCCCCTTCCCCTTCCCCTCCCTCCCCCATCGCCAGCACTGCTGTCGCTCAAGGCATCGCTGGGAGTGACGTTCACCTCGTGGGCAGCAAGTGTGCCGTGCCAAGTGGTTGGCAAGCAGGCTGCTGGACTGCCCACGTGGTCCGGCGTGCTTTGTGGTGATACCGGGGACGTGATCTACATGTAAAGACCCATGCTTCAACCACGCATGCGATAGCTTGGCGTCTAGCGCCAACCTGTAAATGCTTTTAGATGCATAATGTCCTGCAACCATAACGTAAATGTGAGCGGGCTGTTACAACGATAAAGACATTGTTTGATGTATTCACAGTTTCCCCCATCCCTGATGCTTAACTCCCTGTCTGCCTCTCTCACCTTCCTCACACCCTTCCCCTCAGCTCGTTGGCACGTCAGAGTTTGAAGGGGTCTATTCATGCAGACATATCCAAACTCATCGCACTCACTTACCTGTAAGGCTCGATTGGGAAGTGCTGCTTGTAAGGAAGAGCCATGTTTTATTGCGAAGCTAGTGTTGTGGATGGTAAACTCTCTGCTACCCATACGAAATATGTGGACATTATTTCTCCGGATTCTGAATATAATGCACCGCACACAAATCAATCTTCCCAAATCGCTCCTCCGATTCCCAACTCTAACCTCGCCGCCCACCCTAGTGACTTTGGCTACAACCTCTTCCAAGGTCGTCTTGACTCGTTCTCCGCGCCACTTAAGAAAGTGCCCAGCCTCAAAGCGCTGTGAGTACCAAACCTCATGTTTGATGGCGCCTTGACTACCAGCCTTTAAACGAGGACATGAAGTCTGCTACCTGGTTCATGCTCCCTAGTAACTTCTTCTTAGGACACACGTCTGCCCTTTGAAATACAATGTCTGAAGTTATTTTCCCTTTAATGTCCCGTCACTCTTTCGTTCAACTTCATCTCCTCCCTCCCCCCCTCAGATTTTTCCACTACAACTGGTTTGCGGGATCCATTCCTTCCTTCATCGCCTCTTTGCCGAATCTCACCACATTGTAAGCAGCACACACAGCTTCGGAGATCCATCCATGGTTGCTTGCACAAGCCTCGTTGGTGACCCCTTGCACATCGCTCACTCTCGCCCCTTTCTCACCCACATCTTGTTTGTTCGCCCTTCCCTTCCCACCTCTTGCCTGTGTTCTTTCACCCCCGCCAGAGGCCTCTTCTCCAACTACCTCACGGGCACCATGCCCATCCCCTCCACCTCCCTGGTCGCTCTGGACGTGGGCTTTAACTACCTCTCGGGCTCCTTCCCCCAGCTCTCCGTCAAGAGTTGTTCGGCCGACCACAACTGCTTCCTCTCCTCCTCCTACTGCCGCTCCTCCGGTCTGCTGCAGCGCCCCGCCTCCGCCTGTGCCATCTGCGGGACTGCCGACGGCCAGGGGGAGCTGTGCTCTGGTGGGCTGTGCGGCCCTGACAGTGCTGGTGCGGTCAGTGAGGGGATTGTAAACTCCCCCACTCTTCCAATGGTCCCCATGAAGTGCCTTGGTGAGTGTGGCTTTGTCCTTTTCCCGGATGAAATGGACAGCAAGTTTTGCTCACCCAGCCGGTGTATTGCAAACACGCTGTGGCCTGCACTGGAAGGCAGGGGCGTGCGTGGCTTTCGTAATGCCATTCCTGCTCTGCTCTCGTCCAGAGCGTACTACTGGATGGATGCTGCGGTGCACACACTCAGGAAGCTGGCTGGCTGGTTGCCTATCCCATTGGAATTTCTACTTTCGGGCTGCTCCAGAAGCACCTCAAATCCTCTCTCCTCTGTGCATGTGTCGTGCTTGCCCCTGGCCGTGAATCTGTGTGTGACTGTACGCCTGTGTTTGTCTGTACCCCTGTGTGTGGCTGTACCCCTGTGTGTGGCTGCATGTACCCCTGTGTGTATTCCTGTGTGTGGCTGTATGTACCCCTGTGTGTGGCTGTACCCCTGTGTGTGAATGTACCCCTGTGTGTGGCTGTATGTACCCCTGTGTGTGCCTGTACCCCTGTGTGTGGCTGTATGTACCCCTGTATGTATCCCTGTGTGTGGCTGCACCCACTCGTGTGGCTGTACAGATTCGCCCGTGGTCGTACTGGATTTTGCCTCAGGTGAGCATTCTCTTCTAGAATCACACCTTACCATTCTACTGCATTCCTCACCCCTTCATTTCTCATGCACCTGCCAAATTTTCAGCCTCTTTTGCACAGCCCCTTTTCCCCCCTTCTACGTTCTAAAACGTCCAAAGCTTGTTGAATCACAAGCCCCAATTCAAACTCACACGCCCCTCTTCCTCTCTATTCTCCGTTCCGTTCCGTTCCGATCCTCCTCCTCCTCCTCCTCCTCCTCCTCCTCCTCCTCCTCCTCCTCCTCCTCCTCTTCACCACCACCTCTCCCCATCTCGCCCCATCCCAGCATCGGCTCTAATGAGCGTCAAGTCATCACTGGGAGTCACCGACCCCACCTGGGTCGCCTCCTCTTCGTGCACCATCGGCAATGCCGAAATCAGCCTCACAGACACCTGGAATGCCGTGCGCTGCTCCGTTTCTGGGGCCGTCTTGAGTGTGTGAGTGGTGCAAGAAACCACTAGCGTGTGAGTGCTGTTTTTCTTCTAATGTTGATAGCCTCGGTGACTACTACCAGCCAAGTCACTGCGAATTTGCCGAATAAATGGCAGAAACTGATTCTCTGCAGCTTTAGCATGGCTGGATCGCTCCTGGATTGACCAGTCTGTGGAAACGCTTCCGGAAGGGTCTCAAACCTTCTGTCATGTTAGTGCCTTGGAGGTTGAATTACAGCGTCCCAAATGGTAATCTCTCATCTTCACTATCACATCATTCTTCCACATCTCATCTTCTCTGTCTGTCACATGGGCTCATTCCATATACTTAACAGTCCTTTATCTTTGCCTGAGGATGCCGCACTAACCCCTCCGCACCCCTCCCTCCCCCCTCCACTGCCCCCCTCCCACCCTCCTTCCCTCTTCTCCCCCTTCTCTGGTGATGCCGTTACACTCATCTTGGCTGCGTACAGCAACGTGACGTCCATGGGCCTCAGTGGCAGCGTGCATGCTGACATCTCCAAGCTCACTGCTCTCACATCCTTGTCAGTCCCCCTCTCCACTTTTCCATCTGACTCTTCCAAAAACTCCTTCTCTTCCTCTTCCCACTCCCGTTGTCTAGATCCCTCCTCCTCCCTCTCACTCTCTCATTCTCTTCCTTGACCTCTGTCCAACCCTCATCCGTCCCGCTCCTGCTTCGGTTCGCTTTTCTAGGCTAGAGAACTCCTGCTGCTTCCACAATCCTCCCATCCCGTTGCATTGTAACATTCCATCCCGTCCACCTAGAGCATCTATAATTACTGCTCTTCATCCGAACCCAGGGATCCAATTCTCCACAATTTTAGATGCCCATCCCAACAACCTCAGCGCGTTGCTTCCATCCTCGCCCTCCTGCCCCCAATGCCTCAGGGACCTGTCCAGCAACCTCTTCCGCCAGAACCTCGCGTCATTCACTTCTGGCTTCTCCAAACTCCAGGCTGTCAAGCAGCTGTGAGTGCCGCCCGTGCTGAGAGTGCCGCCCGTGCTGAGAGAGTGACACACCCCCATCCCGTGTTGCACTTGCTTTGCTCATGAGAGCTCATGTATCCACCGTTATTGTGAACCGTCAAAATTGCCAACCTTCATTTGATATCTCACAACGTATTCATCTTGTCTCAGTGGTCTTATTTGCCTGGGCTCGCCCTTCCCCCTCCTCCAGCCTTGCGCTTAACACAACTCAAGTACCTTTCCTGCTTCCTCTCACATACCTCCTTCCCCTCCATTGCCTGCTTCCACTTCTTTATCTCCTTCCTCTATCTTCCTCATTCTGCGCCCTTGCCATATTCTGCTTCATGTACTCATTCTGCTAACGTTTCTCATTGCCTCCTTCCTCTCCCTTGCCTCCTTCCTCTCCCTTTCCTCATGCCTCTTCCTCTCATTGCAGCCATCTCAACAACAACTGGTTTGCGGGCTCCATTCCATCTGCCCTCGTCTCCCTGCCCACCCTCACCCGCCTGTAAGGAACGTTTCCCACCCACTCAATGCTTTCAGGGCCCATTCCTCTTGTCATGTTATGTGAACTGCGTTGTGACGACAAGTACTGTACGATGTGCCATTGATTCAGAAACCGACCCACCCTAGGCACCCCCGTTTCGGACATTGTTTTGGAACTAACTTCACACACATTGTATGGGCCTGGGGTCACCTGATATGCCACAAATCTCTGGGCCCCAAGCTAATTCACATAGTACATCACTGACCTACCGAATTGTAATCTTGTCTCTCACTGCGAGCTGTCCATCCCAGTAACGCTAACAAGTTACCTGATCCAACCACCTACCTCCAGGGACCTGCACACAAACGCACTGACCGGGACGGTGCCAGCCCTGCCCACCTCTCTCCTCTCCCTTGACATCCAAGACAACTTCCTCGTGGGAAGCTTCCCTGCAGCTTCGCTGACGAGCTGTGATGCGAGCAGCAACTGCCTGGCGAGTGCGATGGCGTGCAGCGAGGAGAGCGCTGTGGGTCAGAGGGATGCCGAGGCATGTGCCATCTGCGAGTCGCAGGACGGGCAGGGCTTGCTGTGCTTCGGAGGGTCATGCTTGCCGGATGTGGATGGCAGCACCGTGCATGCTGATGGCTTGGACCCTCCTGACATGTACTGCGCTGGTGAGTCATCATAAATTCCGGAAGTGATTCGTGGCATGATGTGGCAGTGCGTGCATCATGAATCTTGGTGTATTGGGGAATCACGGTCATGGCTATAAAGGGCCTATCCATCCATCTCTACCCTCATCTTTAGCCGCCCTCAATCCTCTTGTATTGTTTGCCTTTCTCCATGCCCCACTGCAGAAGCACCGGTGGTCACAATTCATGCAACCGATGGTGAGAGAGTCCGAGAGACACATGCCAGCTCACATGGATGAGAAGTTTCTAACACATATGCAAGCTTTATTATCACTCCATTCTCCACGTCACACATTGGGAAACCTTTTTTAAGTCCAGTGTGGTATGCATTCTTTGACCCTATCCACTACCATCACTCCACCACCATCACTCCATCCCTGCCCATGCCCTCCCCCACAATGCCAGTCACTCATCCTTCATCTTTTTCACACCTATACCGCTTCTCCGTCCTCTCAATCACCCCTCCTCGCCCCTCACGCCCCGGACCCCAATCAGTACAGCGCAAGCGCTGCTGGCAGTGAAGGGCGCGCTGGGGGTGACCTTCACAACGTGGGGGCTTGACAAGCCGTGCACCACGGCTTCTGTAGGGCCGGCCATTGAAGGCACCCTCACTGCCGTGTCCTGTGACCCTTTTGGCCGAATCCGCACCTTGTGAGTCCTCACCACTGCTTCTGATCATCTTTCACACTACTGCTCCTGCTGTTGCTGCTATTTATTCCTCCATTGCTGAACATTCCGTTCTGTCGCTGTGCTTATATACTGCTACCACTTCTGCTCCCAATTTTTCCTCGTCACCTGAGTCAACCAGTTGCCATGCCGCCACCATTCTTCCATCCACGTCCACTCTGTTCCGTGCAGGCAACTAAAGAGTCTCAACCTAGCAGGCACTCTTCCTCGTGCAATCTCCGATCTCACAGCTCTCACGTACCTGTAAGCATGCCTTGCTCACTAGCTTTGCCATCTCGTAGGACATGAAGTGCCCCAATTTGAACCTTTTTGCACTCCAATCATGTTAGCACGATCTGCACCCGTCTGTCTTGCCTCTCCCTGTTTTACACATCCCGCTTCTCCATGCCTTAACATCCCTCTTTCTTTTAATCGTATCATCCCCTTCCAATTTATAACACCCCCTCTCCCTGTCTCCACACACCAACCTTCACTCCCTCTTCCCACACGTCTCTTCCTCGCTGCCAGCGATCTGAGCGGCAATCTCTTTGAGGGACGCCTGGACGAGGTTGCCACACACCTTCGCCTTCTCACTTCCCTCCAGTCCATGTGCGTTGCTCTGACCATCTGTTCTCTTACCGCATGTGCTCCAGGCACATGTGCTCTCACCACCTGTGCTCTCAGCACCAGCATCTGTGCTATCAAGTCTGTCGTTCGTTTGTCTCTTGGACTTGTGCTTCAGCATGCTGCCTTCTCCAGATTTCTCCTACTAATGCCCATCCCCCTTCCACCCAGCTTGTGCATTGCTCTCACGACCTGTGCTCCCACCGCCTGTGCTGCAAGCACATGTGATCTCAGCAAGACTTCACCAGCTGCTGTGCTGCCAGATACAGTGGTCGTTTGTCCCTTGCACTTGTGCTTCGGCATGCTGCCATTCATGGAAGCAGAATTTCACAGGCAGCCTTGCACGTCTTGAATCCTACTGGCATTCATCCGCCTTGATGTTGAATATACCCTCTTCCATTCTCGTTCACCTGCATTCTATATCCAATCCACATGCTATTTCAACCCAACGAACCAACCCCCTCTCCCTCCTCCTCCTCCCCTCTTTTGGCTTGCAGAAACCTCTCGTTCAACTGGTTCTCTCACACACTGCCTGGATACCTACTCGTTCTTCCCAATCTCTCCAACCTGTGAGTTCCCATACATTCTTTGCTGCCGTTTTGCCTACCAGTCAGCTATAGCAGTCTTCCTTTACCCTCCTTCACCTCCTTCATTTCACTGTCCACTCCTCTCATGCCATCCCATTTCCTTGCATCAATCTTACATCCACATCCCAATTTGAAAACAGTCAGAAGTTCTCACCTCCTTGCTTTTCACTCACCCACACACACCCTTCAGCTACCTTTCTCGATCCTATTCTCACATGCTTGCTTTCACCCGCACCCTCCCCTCACCTCCCCCCACCAGCGCGCTGGGCTTCAACTACCTGACGGGCTCGCTGCCTGGCAGCATAGCGGCGCCTCTCAAGGCTCTGGACGTGCAGTTCAACTTCCTTGCCGGCTCCTTCCCTGCCCTCGGCCTCGCCTTCTGCTCCGCCCGCATCAACTGCTTTGCTTCCACCGCTAACTGCAAGCACCCCACAAGGCCCGCTGAGATCCCGCGCGCAGCAGCCGCCTGTGCCATCTGCAACACCACGAACGCTCAGGGCAAGCTCTGCAGCAACATCATTGGTGGTGGGATCTGCAGCGTCACTCCTCCTCCCTCGCTCCTGCTCCCACCAGCCACACCCAACAGTGCCTCATCGCCCGTGCTCCCTCTGGTCTGCACCGCTGCTGCAAGTGTGCCCATGGATGCGACTCAAGCCGTGGCGCTGATGAATGTGAAGGTGGCGCTGGGAGTGTCGTTTCCAGATTGGCGGGTCGATGCCCTCTGCACCCTCGTGGGCTCGCCCTCCCCGGCTCCCGGCACGTGGAATGGCGTCGCCTGTGACGATTCCGGAAAAGTTCTCCGAGTGTGAGTGCCGTGGCTGCTCCTGTGGCTGCTGTGTGTGTGGTCGTACTAATGCCCTTTATCCTCCCTTCCCTACGCTCATCCCAGTGGCAACATTTGGTAATTGGTTACCTTGCACCTTCTGCATTTGGTATGTTACCCACTGTTACTGCTTGTTCTATTCTTTCACGTGTGCGGCCTTCCCTGCATGTGCTGCCCTCCCCGGTTTGCTGCTTTCCCCATGAGTGCTCCATTCCCCCGTGTGTGCTAACCTCCATGTATGTGTCTTCCCCATGTGCGCCGCAATCAATCACGACTCGCAGGTCGCTCAAGGGGCAGGGCCTCACAGGGAGCATCCACTCGGAGATCTCCAAGCTCACCACCCTCACCTTGCTGTGAGTATTCCTCACCCTCCCAACCGTGCAGCATACCTCTGATTCAAGGTTCAGGCGCAGCACACCACTGCACATGCACCTGCTGTTTGTCATCCATGGCTCGTGCATTTTGGTAATTCATCATGTTTCTGCAAAACAACATTTCCCGGTTTCCCCTTGTGGGTTTCTCTCTATTTTTTGCACCTCTGCCACTGCACCATTCCCCCCTGCACCCCTCCCCTATTTCTGGCTCGGCAGTGACCTGCAGTCCAACCAGCTGGAAGGCAAGATGGACGCCTTCACTGCCAACATCAAGGCGCCTCTTGTGCTCAAGGAGCTGTCAGTGCCTGCCTCCCCCAACCCACCCATCCTTCCGTCGTCCCACCTACCCATGCTTCCGTCCTCCCTTCCACTCATCCACACATTCTTGCATCCCCCCACCTAGGCACGACGAACAAGAACATGTTGTTGTTTGCTGTACGTGTGTGTGTGTGTGTTTCTGTGTGATTTCAGTTGATTCGACTCATTGGTTGTGGCGTTTTCCTCCCTCCTCCATCCATCACCCGCATCCCCTGTGCACCCATGCAGCTACCTGCACTACAACTACCTCTATGGCATCTTCCCCTTGGCCCTCCTCGCCATCAAAACCCTCTCAACACTGTGAGTGGCCATAGCGTGATCACCACGTGATGAAGTTGATATGCTGAATCAGGGACTTAGACTCACCTGGGGGAGTTTTAATTGAAACAAGAAACTCTGAATACGCCCCAACACCCTCGAGAAGTCGATTGATTTCTCTCGCTGTTCCTAGATCTCTGACCTCCAGGGCATACCTAACAGACGAATCAACTGCCACAGTTTATGATCCCGACTTGAACTGTATTTCAGATGCTGGCATTGTGGCACATCCATCTACATAGCTCATCACCGGCCTCTCACTCTCTCGCATGCTGCCTGCCTGCTCGTCTCCTGCATAGCCTCCTCCACCACGACACCAGCTTTGCCACCTTGCATCCTCTCAGGAGCTGCTATTTGTTCAATGGTTTTCATGTAACAACCTTTTATTCCCCCACCCTCTTGCACTACCACGCCATCAGCTCCGTGGCCTTCAACTACCTCACCGGATCACTCCCCACCGCACTCCCCGCCACGCTCGCCTCTCTGGACGTGCAAAGCAACTTCCTGGCGGGTTCCGTGCCGGCCAACACCATCCCTTACTGCGCCAGCACGGGCAACTGCCTGGTGGACGCGTCCAAGTGTGCATCACTGGGACTGCCACAGCGCAGCGCCGCTGAATGTGCCGTCTGTGGCTCCATTAACGGCCAGGGCGCTCTGTGTGCTGCTGCCACCAGCTGCCGGGTTGCTGCTGCTGGGGCTGGGGTGGCGTCCCCCCCCACTGCTCTTTCCGCTAGTCTCCCTCTCTTCTGCGAGGCTGTTCCCATGGACTTGGTAACAAGTGAGTGTGCTCTTGTGCTTCTTCTGTGCAGCTTTGTTATCTCCCCATTCCTTATGCTTCCTTGGATTGAAAGACTGACGGATACAGAAACAGGGGAGTGCCCAGGCAAGAACTCATAGCTACGTTGTGCCGAAAACTTCATAATAAAAATAATAAAAAAAGAGCATGGGGGTATTTTGTAAGATCGTGCCACCTAAGGAAGCCCTGAGGGGCTGGATTTCAAGACGTGATACAGGCTACAACATCACCACCTTCTCCCACCCTATCTGTGAAACCCACACCCCCCCTCCGCTCAACTCATCCCTCTCTCTCCCCTCCCTCCCCCGTCTTCCCACCTTCACCCACCTCCCATGCGCCCCTTTCCAGCCCAAACCATGCTGGCCATCAAGGCCGCACTGGGGGTGACGCTGACAGACTGGACTGCCACGCTGCCGTTGCTCAAGCCCTCCAGCCCCACCTCGCCCAAGTCGCTCCCTCGCAGCAGCAGTGTGCTGCTGGCAGGGTCTCTGGGAACGTGCACGTTGGAGGGGCAGACTCCCGGCCCAGGCGCATGGACCGGCGTCTATTGCAGCACCAAGGGAGTTGTTGTGGGCATGTGAGTGCTGCATATGCTGCTGTGCTTTGTCATGCTGCTGTGGGAGTTGCTCTTGGCTTTCCACTGGAGCTTGATTGAGTGACTCTCGCCTTCTCTCCCTCTTTTGCTCCATTCTCTCCCACTCTTCTGCTTCACTGTGCAGTGTGGTACCAAATCAGAAGCTCTGTGGAAGCCTGTCAACGGAGATCTCCAAGCTCACAGCCCTCACCATGCTGTACGCCCTCCCAATTCTTTTCCATTCTACACCCTGTCATATTAACTGCTCTTTCCTGCCAAACCCAGCTTACTGGCCCGTCTGCTCTCTCTTTTATTTCAGTCTTGCTTATCAAAATACCTTTACTCCACCTGTGTGCGTGTGCGTGCATGTTTATCTGCTTGCTCATGCATGTAATTGTCTCTGCATGTGTCTGCATGCATGTGTGCAGCGACCTGAGCTCCAATCTCTTCCAGCGCCGCCTGGATGTCTTTCTCTCACTCGTCTCTACCATCAAGGCACTTCAGAATCTGTACGTTATTCTGCTGTTCACTGTCCACAGACGGTGTGCGGAATGCTCTATTCGTTTGGGTTTAGAGTCAATTTTCCACACTATACGGTCCTGTGCACCTTGGCACTATATGTTTCTCTCTTTAATCTTCACTCACCCAGATCCTCCTTGCTCCAATTTCCCTCATACCCCATCCTCTCCACTCCTTCCCTCCATGCTCCTCACGCCACATCACTCCCCACCCACAGTCACCTGCAGAACAACTGGTTCTCTGGCTCCATCCCCTCCTCTCTCGTCGCACTGTCTGCTCTTTCCACCCTGTAAGTGATCCCCGCTCCACTCTCGTGCATGCCTCACCCTTGTGCATCCTTTTAAGAGCCTCAAACATCATCCTCCGCCAGCATCTTGTACTGTCCCACTCATCTCTCAGTTTGGAACACTCACGCTCGCACCATTCTCCCAATCCACACTCTTTCTTGACAGTCACGCATGATAGTTACTCTTGGTCCTCTGTATGACATCACCTCCCTTTCCTCATCCCTCTTCGTCCACACCATCCCCCCTTATCACTAACCTTTCTCCCTGCCTCCCCACACCGCCACCCACAGCAAGCTGAACCGCAACTATCTGACGGGCACAGTGCCGGCGTTCAAGGCGTCACTCAAGGCCCTCAACGTGGCCAGCAACCTGCTCTCGGGCTCCTTCCCCATCGCCACCCTCACCGCCTGCGATGCGCGCTCCAACTGCCTCTCCAGCGCCACCAACTGCGCCAACACTGCCGGCACATCACTGCTGGCAGCCTCAGAGTGCAGCGTGTGTGGGTCCACCGATGCTTCTGGTGTTCTGTGTGGGGGAGGGCTGTGCGCCCCTGATGCCTCCGCCCCTGCTGCCTCCTCCACCCCCAACACGGACGGCCAGCCGCTGCTGCCACTGAGCTGCCTGGGAGTGCCCATGGATGCGGCCATGTGGTTGGCGCTGCTGAGTGTGAAGGCATCGCTGGGTGTCACGTTCACGGATTGGAATGCGGATGCGCCGTGTGCACTGGCAGGGCAGGCCGTGGTGCCGGGCTCGTGGTCCAGTGTTGTGTGTGACGCCACCGGCAAGGTTCTCACCCTGTGAGTGCAGGGGGCCTGCATGGTGTATCCTCTTTCTTGTTGTGATGGAGACTCGGCATTGTTCTGTTAAAATTATTATTCTTAAGCATCATTGGAACCATCATGTGCATTTGAACCATCATGTCCATTTGAACCATTTTGTACCCATGATGCTGCCATTTTACCATGCTACGTTCTCCCTCGTTGGTGACATTGTGCTACGTACCCAACCACGACCTTGTGCCACACACGCATGCAGCAAGCTGGGCGACCTGTTGCTGCCAGGATCCGTCAACTCTTCGGTGTCAACACTCACCTCTCTCACCAGGCTGTAAGCTGCACCCAACGGCTGAGGTTTGTGGTTCATTAGCTTTCATTCAGTGTTTGCACTTGGCAACTCATCTTGCATTCTCTGGTTCTTATGTAGTTACATGACACACTCTCATCATCACATGCTCACATGCTCACAAAAACACGGTTTCGTGCTCACATGCTCTGAGCTGCACATGTGTGTCGGCTGTGCCATGCTGCAGCGAGCTGAACAACAACCTCTTCTCAGGCCGCCTGGATTCCTTCCTCACCCCTCTTCTCCCCGTCAAGACCCTCAAAGTCCTGTGTGTTGCACTCGCTGCACTGCATGTACTGCTCTCGCAACCACAATCAACCCCCAACCTAACAAAACCAACCACACTGCACCCCCAACCACACTCCACCCCCTACCACACTGCACACCCAACCGCACTAGTTCCCTAACATATTCTGGTTGGTGGCTCCATAGCTTTCAAGTCTCGACCTGTCTTGCCTCGTCTTTCCAGACTCGCGGCATTTCCCCATCCCACGGCACCCATCCACGTCAGGCATGAGAAAAAGCCCATACAATCCAAGTCACAGCAGCCGACCTAGAGTGCCCGATATCGTGTACCGCATACTGTGTGATTCAGCACCCTCTCTCCCTATCGCTGCTCTCATCCCCCCCACCAGCCACGTGCACAACAACTACCTGTCGGGCGCCGTGCCACCATCTCTCACTGCTTTCTCCGCCCTCTCTGAACTGTGAGCTCTCCCCCCTCACCCTTTGCCACCTCCTATATCGAAACTCGGTTTCTTCCTGTCGCTATACTTGTTGGCTGGAATTTTACTCTCCCTATCCTCATTCACTCTATTCCTGTCATTTTAGTTTCTCTCCATCTGGATTATTTTTAGACAAAATCTCTCCACCCACTTTCTGGATTTGCACGACAGAGCTCTGTGGTTCATGCAACATGCATACGGGCCATCACCTCTAGGCCACTACATCCTTCCCCCATGGAAACTGAAGTTCAACCCCCACTACGTGAACCTTCGTTACCCATTCCATTCCCCTATTCAGGAAGATCCAGGGCAACTACCTGACGGGCAGCATGCCGGCAGCGCTGCCGGCGTCCCTCAAGTACCTGGACTCATCAGGGAACTACCTGGTGGGAACGTTCCCCACCACCACCACCACCTACTGCAGCTGCGCCAGCAACTGCTTCAAGGACAGCACCAAGTGCACCAGCGGCAGCACGCAGCGAGCAGCAGCAGCATGTGCCATCTGCGGCAGCACCAACGGCACCGGGGTGCTCTGTGATGGCGGCACGTGTGCTCCCAGTTCGACGGCTCTGATCGCAGCAAAGACTGTGAATACGGGGACGGCTGAGATGTACTGCGCGGGTGCTCCCATGGATGCTGCCATGGGTGAGTGCCGTGAGCAGTGAGGAGGTTAAGTATGGAAGGGGACATGTGAGAAAGTGGGTGCATGATGGAGAAGAGGAGGCTTGCCCAAGTTCCTGGGTGATCTCACTCTCACATATAATTTTACTCCATCTCAGTCTTCCACGTCATATTGAATCACATGTCACCGAATCAACCACACTCCCATTCTCATCTTTTCCATGTCCTGCATTCCTCCCTTCCCTTTATCCCCCCAGCTGCGGCACTACTGAGTGTAAAGGCATCGCTGGGAGTGTCTTTCACCAGCTGGGCGGTGAGCTCGCCGTGTGCCGTGGAGGGAGTGGCAGCACCGCCAGGCGCGTGGTCCAACGTTCTCTGCGATTTCACCTTCAAACCCGTCTCCCTGTGAGTTGGTTGGTCCTCGCTGCATTTGGCCGTCCTCGCTGTCAAGATTCATGAAGTTTCTGACCGTTGGATGTTTCTGCATTTAGAATGTTGAAATGTCGATCCTTTTGAGTTCCCAGCGTCCTCGCTGTCAAGATTTATGAAGCAGCGGCTCTCAGCGTGCTGGACCTGTCTCCAACCCGGCGGCACCCCATATAGCCATGCTGCTGCCTCTAAGGCTTGAGTCTGAATTTTCTGAAGGTCGCCTGAGGGTTTGAAGTGTTGGAATATTGAACCTTTTGAGTTCCTGTCAGCGCCATCTCTGTTTTCCTCAGCACCATTTCACCCCATTTTCAAACATCACTGCTGTTTGTGTCTGATTTTGCTGTTTGTGTCTGATTTTGCTGTTTGTGGCTGTTTTTTGGATGAGCAGCAAGCTGTCTGGCCTGAAGCTGACGGGGAGAATGCACTCAGATATCTCCAAGCTCACCACCCTCACCTCTATGTATGTATAATTTTTCAAGCGCCGCAGAGGTATCTCCTTCCAACCTCACAAACCTCACCACCCTGGAAATAACCACACTCAAGCCTCCCACTCTTCATCTGTGATTTCGCGTCATTTATAACCGCCACTACTGTGTTGCTGACTTTTCTCATTTTCCTCTCACCCTTATGTCCCTACCATGTTGTCTTTTATCCTGTCATTGTTACACTTCCATCTCTGAGTTCTACTCCCATTACGCCCTCCCGTTAAATTCACGGTTTCCACACATACCCCCTCTGTATCCCTTACAGTGATCTCCGAAGCAACCTATTGCAGGGGCGTCTGGACGTGTTCACAACCTATTTCAGCGCGCTCAAATCCCTCAAGCAAGCGTGAGTGGCGTGGCCTGGCGTCCCTTTGCAGAGCCGTGCACGCAAGTAGGGACACAAATGGAGGCATGAGTGCATGGGAGGCATGAGTGCATGGGAGGCATGGGTGCGTGGGAGGCATGAGGCGTCCTGCATTGGGTTGCCTGGGCCACAAGTTCGAATCAGTCTGCCCCGCCAGCCACAACCCACTCTTCCACGGCATGCATGATCATTTCACTCTCCCATTCGTGAGAAAAAGACGGAACTCCAACAATCTTTCCCCTCCTTTTCTTCCCTCCTCTTCTCCCAACACGTCAATCCTCCCCAGATTGACTTGCCTATCATTTCCTTTCTGCCTGCACGTATTGCCCTCCTACACACATTGACCTCCTCCACGTATCGCCCGCCTCCTCCCTCCCAACCCTATCGCCTCGCCCATGGCAGCAACTTCAACTTCAACTGGTTCTCTGCGTCCATCCCCTCTGCCCTTGTGGGCATCGCCTCCCTCACATCATTGTGAGACCTTCTTGCCTTCTGCTTCTCAGGAATTCGCTCCCTCTTCTCTGCCCCATGCCTTTGCTCCTACTGCCCCATTGCCTTTGCTCCTTTGTAATGCGTCCACTGCTTTTACCTCACTCCCGCTGCCCTGCCTTTCACTCTTACACTCAATCACTTTCACGCACTCTCAGGCACTCTCACAAACACCTCACACTCTCAATCCTTTTCATTTATCCTCACCCCAATCAATCTCCCCTCCTCTTCAGCGGTGCAAGCTACAACTACCTGTACGGCCCCGTGCCCAAGCTCGGCACGGCTCTCAAGACCATCGACCTGCAGAAGAACTGGCTGTCCGGCACATTCCCCGGCACTGGCTTCCTCTCCTGCTCTGCCTCCTCCAACTGCCTCGCCAACTCAGGCGCATGCAACACCACAGGCACCACGCAGCGCCCATTGGCTTCTTGCGCCGTCTGTGACTCTCCCACTGGGGCTGATCCCATCTGTGCCGGCGGCACCTGTGCTCCCAACACAGCCGGCCCTCTTGCCATCTCCACTACCCCCACCGCCTCGTCTCCCATTCTGCCGCGCTTCTGCGTTGGCGTGCCGTTGAACGCAGCGCAGGCCGCCATTCTCCTCTCTGTCAAGACAGCTCTTGGGGTCACCTTCACCCAGTGGTCTGCCAGTACCATTTCAGGAGCCCCCAAGGCCAAGACCCTTACCAACGAGATCAGGAACGGGCCAAAGGCGCTGAAGCTGCGGCGCTTGGCAGAAGTTGAAGCGGTCAGGGAGAGGCTGCTGCTGGTGGCTTCACCCTCAGGGCAGGCGGGCCTGTGCACGATTCAAGGCCAGACACCCGTCCCTGGCTCTTGGCCGGGCGTGTTTTGCTCTTCTTCCGGCATGGTCGTCGGCCTGTGAGTGCTGCCACTCCACTCTCCATAAATTCTGCTGGTGTGCTGCTTCCTACCACCATTGTTGGCCGGTGTATGCCACGCGTTGCATATCGCTCCTGACTCGGAACCACCACTTCGACTTCCCCTTCTGTTCCCTCTATCCCTGCTGCTCCCTCTGTCCCTTCTGCTCCCTCTCCCTGTCCCCGCTGTCCCTGGACGGCAGGGATCTTCGGAATCTCCTGCTGCGAGGCACCGTGCATGCCGACATCTCCAAGCTCACCACACTCACTGCGCTGTAAGCCCTCGGGATATCGGGATTGGGGTCTGACTGAGGATATGAGGGTAAGGTTATCAACTAAGATCAGTGCAGTGTGGCACAAGTGACAGGACAGGAGTGACCTCACGCAGGTATGGTCGTGGTTAAGACAGGACAGGAAACCAGTGCTCTGTGTGTCGGGAGGTAACATGCGAGTCGCAACATGCACTCATGTGCATTCTCTGTCACAGCATCACAGCATAACTGTCTCACTGTCACAGCTGCACAGCATTACCTCATGGTTCCCATCCCAATACTCACACCGCATTCTGCACTACCCAGCCCCTGTCCCACTCTCCTGCCATGGTTCCTCCATTCTGCCTTCATAATGCTCGTTTTGCCCGTATGTTCCCCTCGTTGTGCCCCCTCGTGTGTTCCCCCCCATCCACAGCTACCTGTCATCCAACCTCTTCTTCCAGCGTCTCGACTCCTTTGTGGCTCCTATCCTGCCTACAGCCTCTATCAAGGACATGTGAGTGCCTCCCCTGCCCACGGCTTTCTCAGGGCCCTGTTAGTGCTATAACTTTGTTGCCTGTCCTCCCTCCTTCCCTCGCTAAGGTTCCCAACAGTGCTGCTGCCACCACGCTCACCATGACATGTGCTGCCGTGCCCCTTGATGCAGCCTCTGGTAAGCCCCCTCCCTCTCTTCCCTCCTACCACACATGGATGCGTAGACCATATGTTTCCAAATCCCTCTCACTTTCCATGACATGTGCTGTCGTGATTCTTTAGATCACCTCTCATGACTCCCTTCTCTTTCCAATGCCATACGTGGATCCCTTCCCCCCATGCCGCCATGCGTAATTCCGCAAATTCTGGTGTGCAACCATCCCTTGCTAGAAGCCCATAGCATCATCACACCACCGATCACCCTCCCTTGCTGGAAGCCCATTCACCACACTGCTGGCCTGCATGTATCCACTCAGCCTTTTCTCCTCTTTTGCCCCGACGTGCACTCCCACCGGCAGTGGCGGCACTGTTGAAGGTGGGGGCGGCTCTCGGGGTCAGAGACACGGACTGGCGCAACGGCAGCAAGTGCAACATTGAGGGGCAGAGCGCCAACCCCAAGTCGTTTCCGGGAGTGTGGTGCAGCGCCAACGGCACCGTCCTCAACATGTGAGGCTCCTTTGCCCCCCAGCTAACTAGTCCTTTATTGGACCTGCGATGTGTATGCGTCTCATCCCCATGCTTGCGTGCTAACCCTATGCCTCCTGACTACATGCTTCAGTTAACCCCATGCTCCTGCTATTCCCATGCCTGCTGCTATGCCTCCTGCTATCCGAATGCCTCCCGCTATCCCATGGCAGCACGTTGCCCAACAAGGCACTGAGGGGCATCATCCATGCCGACATCTCCAAGCTCACTGCCCTCTCCTACCTGTACGTTTCAACCCTCAACCTTAACCCCATGCTCCCTGGGGCAGTACGTTTGAGAATTATCAACCTCAACCTCAACCCCACAGAGAATGGGGCGTTTACAAGTGTATTATCCCTTTCCTCGTAGGTGTTACGGTCGTCGTGAGTCTGCAGACCTGGGTCCAGTACTGAGCCTCTAGATTCTCTTCACTTTCAGCATCCTCCTCTCGCTCATTCTCTTTGTCTGCCTCTCCCACGCCCACTCGCAGCGATCTGTCCTACAATCTCTTCTCTGGTCAGCTCTCCAAGTTCATCTCCACCATGCTGCCGCTCACCACCATGGCCACTCTGTGAGTCGACTTTGATCATTCCCAAAAGTCTCACCACCATGGCCACTCTGTGAGTCGACTTTGATCATTCCCAGAAGTCTCACCACCATGGCCACTCTGTGAGTCGACTTTGATCATTCCCAAAAGTCTCACCACCATGGCCACTCTGTGAGTGCCCTGCTACCAGGGATCCAGCACCCACCATTGCTTCCATGTGTGTGTGGCGCAGGGGCCTGTCCCCGCTCGGTCTAATGGATGGGACTACCTCATTCTGTTTACTACACATCCAAACACCACTCCCCGCTCTATTCATCTTCATCTCATCCCTATGTGTTTATCGTGTGCTTCTCATTCGCGGGCCTGCGTTTATCCAGGAACCTTAACTCCAACTATCTCTACGACAGTATTCCATCGGCCGTGGTCAACATGCCTCGACTCACAAAACTGTCAGTTTTGCCATGCCCATGCCCAACGCCATTTCCCATGCCCAATGCCATGCCCAATGCCATGCCCATGCCCATGCCCAAATCCCAAGCCCAATGCCCATGCCCAATGTCGCCCAAAGCCTAATTCCTCTCATCACTTCCCCCCTTCACTTCACCTACTTCCCCCCACCCCCCTCCCCTCCGCACAGCCGGCTGGGAGCGAACTACCTGACGGGCACGCTGCCAGCCATGGCCACGCAGCTGCAGGTGCTGGCCATCGCCAGCAACCTCCTGGCGGGCGCCTTCCCCACGCAGCCCTTCCAGCTGTGCGACATCCGCAGCAACTGCCTCTCCTCGCCGGGCTCCTGCACCAACGATGCCGGTGTGGCTCAGCGCACCTCCGGCTGTGCCTTCTGTGGTTCCGCCACGGGCGCCCCGCCTTTCTGTGCGGGCACCACCTGCACTCCCGATGTCGCTGCTCGCCTTGCCGCTGGCACTGTGAACAACCTTAATGCCACCCTCCCAACAATGTTCTGCGAGGCCGTTGCAGTGGATGATAACTCTGGTGAGTGGGGATTTGTAGCCTTAAGGAATGATTAACTGTGTGGTGTGTGGGTACGAGCATCTCGTCTGGTCTACATGGGTGTGTATCAGAGGTGCCTTTTGAGTGGACAAATTAGCACTCTAATGAGCAGCTGCACTTGTGTGCCAGAATTGTACTCTGACTGGGGCTCACGTCCTTTGTCTCACACCCACATCAGTCATCCATCCAACCTCACACACCCAGCCCAGTGTTGACCCCACACCCTCTCCCCTTCTGCTCCCTTCAATGCACTTTCGTCTCTCACTACTGACCCACCCTCTCCTTTCCCCCCCCCCTCTGCTCCCCCCAGCGCTGGCACTGCTGGCACTGAGGGCGGGGCTGGGCGTGAGTGCTCTCAGCTGGGCGGTGGACTCGCCCTGCACGCTGGCGGGCAACGCCCCCGCGGTGGACAGCTGGACGGGCGTCGTCTGCGACCTCTCGGGCCAAGTGCTTAGCCTGTGCGTGCGCGGGTGATGGATGTGTGTGGGCTATGTGTGGGGGTGTTTTGTGAGTGAGCGCTGTGCGATGGATATGGGCGTGGGCTATGTGCGCGTGCACGTGTTCTGTGCACATGTGCCACGTGCATCTGCGTGTGCTTGCCTGTGCTCCCATGCCATCCTGATGCCAGCATGCTTTTATGTGGCATGCACGCAGTTTCCTGCCTGTGTCTGACCAGTCAAGTCACTCACACTTAGACTGTCCATCCGCATGAATACATTTTCGTTCTGCATTCTATGCTCCATGGTCAAAATCCCAGAAGCTGCTCTGGAGCTCCATAGTTTTCCTCATTCTAACACCATATGAGGCACAACCTCATCCCCGTGCCTGCTCCATGCCCGCATGCTGCCCTGCCTGCTGCACCGCTGCTCCTCACACAAATTCCTCCTCGTTCCTTGGTGCGTGCGTGCCTGGCATGGGGTTGCTGACGTCACAACAGGGATCTTTCTAAGATGAATCTTCGTGGCAGCTTGCATGCCGACATCTCCAAGCTCACTGCACTCACCAGCCTGTGAGTGAGGCTACGTTCACTGGCATGTGGGCCAGCATCTATCCACCCTTACCTCGCCCCGCACGTCCATCATGTTCCTCCGGTGTGCTTTCGCCAGCATGCCATTCCTTTCAACCTAACTACTCCTGAACCCTCGCATACCCCTCCGCTTGCCTCTTAGTGCCTCCTTGCCTCCGTGCCTCCTCTGTGCCCCTGTGCTCGCAGCAACGTGGCGTCCAACCTCTTGGATGCGCGCATGAGCGAGTGGGCTCTGCCTCTCACCGGCCTCAAGGCACTCAAGCAACTGTCAGTCCTACACACTGCTTGCACAGCCTGCCACCGCCACACCGCATGGCTAGTTGCCTTCCACGGCATTCTGCACGCCGGGCTCTCTTTGCTGCACGCTTGTGCGCCAGACCAGGCCAGGGCAGGCCAAACCTGATAAAGCCCGGCCTCACAGGGCAAGGCTTTAAGTCCCATTGTGCGGGTGCCTAAATTGTTCAAATCCTCGTTTAACATTGTTTGTGTTTCAACTGTGCCAACTTTCTCCTGTGCCTGTATTGTCTCTTTTCTTGCGTGTCCCTTTCCTGTTGTGTGACTTTCTGTGTCACGATTCTCTTGTGTGACTTTCTCTGTCACCACCCTTCAGGTCTCTCAACTACAATTGGTTCTCCGGCCCTTTGCCTTCATTCCTCCTCGCCATGTCCTCCCTCTCAGCGCTGTAAGCACCCCAACTTGTGCAACCCAGTCATCATACACACACATGCACTCCCCCTTCACTGTACATAGCGACCCTACATTCATAATCATGGATCATGGCACCCTGCCCTTACTCTATTGCGAACCTCTTTCTCCTATCTTGCCTAAGTCAATCCCCTTTTCCCTCGTTATCTGCCACACACTCCCCTCATTCCCCCTCACCAGCAACGTGCAATTCAACTACCTCGCTGGTCCCATCACCGGCACTCCCTCTGCCTCCCTCAAGTCCCTCAACGTTGCCTCCAACCTCCTAACAGGAACCTTTCCAGCATCTTCCACCACCGCATATGATGCACGCAGCAACTGCCTAGCAGACTCCTCCAAGTGCCTTGCCTCAGGCTCCTCCTCCCAGAGGCTTGCCTCTGACTGCGACCTCTGCGGTGCTGGAAGTTCCAGTGCGGTGATATGCAATGGAGGGGTGTGCATGCCGGACACTACCGAACCGATGGCTGCCCTCACACCTAACGATGCCTCGGCTACGTTGCTGCCCATGCAGTGCTCGGGTGCTCGCATTGACGCCACAGCAGGTGCGCCTCCTGCCCACTTTCCAATTTCCAGTTGTCAGGGTCAAAATCCGAATATCTCAACTCTCCACTATGCTTGTGTGTCCTGGTTGTTTTTCCAATCCATCTCATCCATACGCTGTCACTGCTCCCTCCCCTCCATCCTCAACATCTGCCCTATCTCCACCCCCACTCCTCACCCCATCACCCACCCCCACCCTCCAGTATCGGTGCTTGGGACTCTCAAGGCGGCGCTGGGAGTGCCTTACCCAGACTGGGGAGGGAACTCGCTGTGCACGGTGGTCATTATTGTTTCCGGAGTCAGCAGCTCCTCCCCTGGCCCGAGGGACTTGGGAGATGTGTTGTGCAGCCCGGCCGGGGCTGTGGTGTCGATTGACCTCAACTCGCGCCAGCTGGCTGGATCCATGCATGCAAATATCTCCAAGCTCACTGTGCTCACTGCCCTGTAAGCCCACTGCTCTGCAAGCCCACTGCTCTGCAAGCCCACTGCTCTGTAAGCCCACTGCTCTGTACGCTCACTGCTCTGTACACTCACTGCTCACTGCTCTGTACGCTCACTGCTCTGTACACTCACTGCTCACTGCTCTGTACGCTCACTCTCCGTGAGCTACTTGCCACCAGCTAGCATCGAATCCCGTCCGCCTCATGGTCCTCCCCATGAGTCCTCTACCTGTTTCCTTGGTCCATTTCACCTGCCGTGTAGCAGTGCCACATCAGTAGCATCAGGAAGCCAACTCTCCCCTTCCACCCCAACGCGCACACTTCTCTTCCATGCATTCAACCGTCCTGCATAACCAGCCCAAACCCGTGTTCCCTCTTTCCTACGCCCGCCTCTGACTTCCTTCTAGGATCTTCCACACAAACTTCTTGGCCGATCGCCTGGACGCCTTCACAGCGCCCTTCACCGCCCTCCCCAAATTGGAGAGCCTGTACGTCTATCTCTTAAACGCTCTTATCTTTTCTATTCATGCTCCTCTCAACTGATCAAGGCATCAACCACAATCCTGGTCCCCTCGGTCTCTTCCTTCTCTTGCGCACACATTTTGTGTGTGCTCCTCGTTCTCCTTCCGTGCATATGTTATGTGAGGCACCTCACACATCTCACCAGCCTTCACTCTTCCCAACCGTATGGGCCTACGATACCGTTGAGAAATTTCAAATGCGATACCTGGGCCAACCCCCTCACCTTTTCTATCGTTCCTTTCCCATTACCCTCTCCCCCTCGACACCTTCCCATCCACCTGCCCATCTACCCCTTCCCCCCACCCTCGTCCCTGTGTGCCGTGCAGCCAACTGCACTACAACTACCTGTTTGGGTTCATACCCTCTTCTCTTATCGGTCTCAAGAGCCTCTCCAATCTGTGAGATTACCACCTTCTTTTTACCGTCCGCCATGCCATAGCATGCCGTGCCCAGTCGTTGCATATCATGCTATGCCTGCACGTGCCACTTCACCAAATTCCGCCACGCCTCTTCCTCTGTGTATCCTTCTGCCTTGCACTTCACTCAACCTACCCTCTTCCCCCACCCATCCAGCTTACCTCCTTCCGCCAACTCACCCCTTCCTCCTCTCTCTCTCTCGCGTCAACCACCCTGCTCAAGTCTGAACTACACTTTTCTTGCTGAATGCCTGCTGCTTAATGTTACGTCTGTGATGAACCTACCTACCTACATGAGATGTCTGCTGCTTCATTGATCTACTAGACTCAAGCCCCTTCACTCCCCACCACACTTGCCCCATCCCACAGGAGTGTGGGCTCCAACTATCTCACTGGGAGCGTGCCAGTGCCAGGCACTGCCATGAAGCACCTGGACCTTGAAAACAACTACCTCGTCGGAACATTCCCAGCAGGCTCCTTGCTGTCCTGCTCGGCACGCACCAACTGTTTCTCGAGTGCGGCTGCTTGCATGGCGGACGGAGGCAAAGGGACTGTTCAGAGAGCCACGTGCAGTATCTGCGGCAGTGCCGATGGCACGGGGGTGTTGTGTGGCGGCGGTGGTGCGTCCACCTGCCAGCCCACAGCTGAATCCCTCGCATCCCTCTCCTTGATCAACAGCCCCAATACCCCTGCGCTCCCTATGGAGTGCTCCTTGCTGCCGGCTGTACCCGTCAACTCTACTGCCAGTACGCCATCCCTTGCCACGGGCATGGGTAGCATGGGGATGGGGCTACGCCCCAATCTGCACTTTTCAATCTGCATGGGCACGAGTTGCATGGAGATCATCACCTTAGTGGTCTGCCTGACTGCATTTCCCTTTCTCATTCCGTCATGCTCAGCTCACTGCTTCCTCCCACCTTAACCTCCCTTTCCTCCTCTCCTCTCCCATTCGAAACTCCTGGTTCAATCCTCACTCTCCTCATCACCCCCTCTCTCCTGCACCCACAGTGGCGGCGCTGCTGAGCATCAAGACAGCCTTGGGAGTGATGCACACAGGGTGGGCGGCAAACGCTGTCTGCGCGCTGGCAGGGACAGCTGGCACTGTAGCGAGTGGGAGCTTGACCGGTGTGGAGTGTGACTCAGCTGGCAACCCCGTCAAGATGTGAGCACTTGATTGCTTTCATCTTAGACAGAACCCTCATTGTGCAGGAGAGCTTGTTTTGTGGCAAGGAGTGGTTGTGAGCAGTAAGCAGATAGAAGGATAGAGTGGTTGTGAGCAGTAAGGAGATAGAAATATAGAGAATTTGTGGGCACTTGATTGCTTTCATCTTATGTAGAACCCTCATTGTGAAGGAGAGCTCGTTCCAAAGATGGGAATAGCAGTTGGTGGCATAACTAGTGTTGTGCGGCTTTTGAGGATTCTCTCAACCTGGCAACCCTGTGAAGAAAGTAAGATGTAAACTATAAAGTGAGAAGTAGACAAGTTGAAAGTAAAGCCGACAAAGGGTATTCCTCCATCTCTTCGTCCCTTGGCATCACCTTCCCCTACCGTTCATTCTTTTTGTTTCTGCTTCCCCTCTCTTTCGGTCGTCTAACTTTAAATCCTGATCTGATCAATTCTACTTTGCATATTTCGACATCCCCCCCTAAGTCGTTTCCTCTTGTGCTGTTTCCAACCCCCCTCACCTCCCAACCGATCCTCTCCCATGTATCCTTCATTACCTCCCCTTCTGTTGCCTGCCCACCTGTGCCAGAACTCTCAACAACCAGCAGCTGTTCGGAGTGCTCCCTGCTGATGTCACCAAACTCACAGCGCTTACTCACCTGTGACACCTGCACACAGACTACTTTCCGTGCATGCAAGCACATGTAAGAACCAACATTCATGTTTGCATTCACGTGCATACCGTTGTCATTGACTCAAATGAAGCAACCAGCTTGTATGATTGCAGTGTTCTGTAATAGTAGCTCGCATCACGACCGCACATCAATGGACCCTCCCTCCTGTGCATCTAATATGAAATCCCAACCTCTTGAATCCAATCATTCCCCTTCCTGTATTCATCTCGTACAAATCTGCATCAAAATGCAATTCCAATTCCATCCTCTCTCCCTGTATGCAATCCTCCCTCCCTCCATTTTCTTGCCCCGCTATTACCACCGGGGTTGCAGCAACCTGCAGTCCAACCTGTTCAAGGCACGCCTTGAAGATTTTGCACTGAGGATCCCTGCGCTTACCAACCTGGCGGTGCTGTGAGTCCCTCACCAACCTGGCAGTACAAGAGAATTCTCAGACTCGTTCTCTTGCTGCTCTACTGCCCTTCCACCACCACGATAGGCCGAGAACTCCCTTGACACCCTCGTAATCTGAGTGTTGCTGCTGTTCAAGCAAGCCTAGGATGCTGCGTCTTTGCAATGCAAGGGTGTTGCTGCCCTTCTACCTTGAACCACGGCGCACTGCCAGCCTCGCAGTCTTTTCCCCATTCACTAGATTTCCTCTGTGTGTCGCCTATGGGTTTCCTCTTTATTGTCTCTCCTAAATGTCTTTATTTCGTTACTATGTGCCCCTCTTACGCATATTCCCTGTGTGCCCCTCTGAGCCCCTCTGCACCCACTTCACCCTACTCTGCACCCCTCTGCGTTCCTTTGTGTGCATCCCCACCAGCCTGCTGGACTTCAACTGGTTCAAAGGCTCGCTGCCCCCACCTCTCCTCGCCATGATCAAACTCACCCAACTGTTAGTTCCGTGCCCCATGCCAAGTGTCGCATGCCCCTCCTTTGCCCCTGCTAAGTTATGTCCCACGCTCTTACTTTGCTGCCAAACGACTTTCCACACCAGCTCAGCCTGCTCCTTCACATCCATACCATCATTGGTTCATGTCTTCATTCTAACCCGCTCATCTCACCACAACCTCTCACAACTCTACTCTCCCAACCACACCACCCGCACTCCCCCCCTCCCCCACCTCTGAACTTTATGCGATCCAGGAGCATGGCGTACAACTACCTGACATACCGCGTGCCACCGGTGTCAGCATCTCTCAAGGCAATCGTCCTCTCCAACAACTTCCTCTCGGGCACCTTCCCTGCCAACTCCGCCACCTCCTGCGTCTCTGCTGCCAACTGCTTCACCAGCGCCACCTCCTGCAACACTCCTACCGAGGGGGGCGTCACGGAGCAGCGAGCGTCGGGGTGTGATATCTGCGGCAGTGCGAGTGGTCAGGGCATGCTGTGCGGTGGTACAGGGGTGTGCACGCCCAATGCTGCTGCACTGTTCACTGCCAAGACAGTGAATACTGCTGCTGCTGCTGTTCTCCCCATGTCTTGTGTTGGTGAGTGGCGCTCATGCGTGCAACAAATCTGCTGGCCCAACAGAGAATGACTCATTCGTGCTTCTTTTCCTATGTTTGTTTGCCAGAATATGCTGCTTCTACGTGCCTGACTGCCCCTCTCCCTTCGCCCTATCTCTGCACGTCTTCTCTCTTGTTCCTTCTCCCTTTCGTCTGAGTCACAGACCTTGTGTGTGCTGCAGCTGCACCTATTGCCTGCCCGACTGAATGGCGCTGCCAGGGTCTGAAGTGTGCTGCACCTGCCGTCTCCAACTGCAACGGCTACCTCTGCACTCCGTAGAAGGGTTGCTGCACATTAAAGCCTGTGAAACAGTTACCAAGCCATTTTCAAGAACTAGATTAGCCCTAAAGGGAATGTACCCCTTCAGAGTACATGAATAGCTATGACATTTTGCATTCTGGTGACCTGTGCCTAGAGTTTGTTTTTCGAAACAGTTACCAAGCCGTTCGTTACCGTGAACTAGATTAGCCCTAAAGGGAATGTACCCCTTAAGAGTACATGGCTAGCTAGGGTCTTTTTCTTTTTTTAACCTTGTTTTTGTGTAAACCGTGTCTAGAGTTTGATTTCTGTGGAGACCGATCACATACAGTGGCAATGTTCGCCAAGTTAAGAATTCCATGTTCCGACTCGATTAGGATGTCTTGAACTTGAAGTGTTCATTTTTTTTTTCATCAGCATAATATAGGGTTGACGGCCTTGGGGTCCGGAGAAGAGCCCCAAAGGTGCAAAAGTTTTGTCCAGTGTGGAAAACTTAACTTCAGACCACATTGAAACCACGTGCCATGCGATAGTGGAGGCACGGGTCGACGATTTTGAACGAATAGACGAACCCAATCAGTTGCATGTCACCAAACATCGTCAAGGTCGTTTTGAACGTTTTGTCACGCATGAAGTCCACTCTGGCACTCACACGAAGTCGACAAATGCGGTATCTTCTCCTACGTGGCATCCCTACACACGTGTTTTGTGCACTGATGTTGGGGGAACTCCGGTTGGGACCCCAAAGCTGTGAACGCCATCTAAAGCCTGCCTTGAGACTCGTAGCAAGGTCGGCGACCTGCCAGCACTACTCCGCACCGTTTCCAACGATGCAGAGAGGCGACTTACCAACGTAGCAAGTCGACGGCCTGCTAGCGCTACACCACGGCGGCGGCCAACGTAGCAAGTCGGCTTGCCAGCGTTGCAGCCGCGGGTGACAGCAGCGTACACGCGCGCACCTACTTCGCAGGTGCTTGCAGACAGTTGGAGCGACGTGCACCGTCACGTACACGGCGCCGCTGCCAAGTCGGCCACGTGCCATTTACTGTGCTTAATGAACCACGTCGACCTCGGAATACCATTCCGAGGACAGCTTCGCCAGAATCTCCTAGGCGACGTTCGTGCACCCTGTTGAACCTCGGCGCCCTGGTAACCTGGTCGACGAAGAAACCAGCAAGTTGGCGTCGACTTGCACAGCTGATTCCCGCCAACCTTTGTACGTGCCCGTCGACAGGTCGACGGCCACTCGCTGACTTCACCAAGTCGGCCACTCCGCAGGTCGACGAACGCCTTCGTCGACCACCATGCTGTCCGTCGACTTTGCCAAGTCGGCTCCCACAATCGGTGCCCTCAAGTCAGCGCCCCTCCCAAGTCGACAAATCCCTTCGTCGACCATGATTGAAGTCGACCGCCGGCTTCCCGTCAGCGGCAGCTTCGCAGTGGCCCCGTGCAGGTCGACCAAGTCTGTCGACCTGCTCGCCTAAGTCGGCTTCGCCCACTGCAGTCGGTCGGCTGCACTTCCGCACATCCGACCATGATGTCGGCTCCGCCCAAGCGAGGACGGGGCCAACTCTCGTTGACACTCCCCTAGTACGTTCACGCTTGGGCTCCAAACCCGCACGGCAGAACTTCACAGACAAAACTCGTCGCCGTTGGCATGCACACAATGCACAGCTCGCGGTCACCGCACCAGCCATGCAGAAGGGCACGGCACCTACTCCTGCACGTCGTCGTCACCGTCGCCGACGTCGGCCAGTCGCACTTAGCCAATTGCAATGGAGCACCGGTTGAAGGCCGGAAAGTGCAGCGCCTTCGTCAGGAAGTCAACCGGCTGCGCTGTGGTTGGGATGTATTTCACCACGAACTTTCCGCGCTTCACCACGTGCTGCAGCCAGGCATATCGCGGCTCCATGTGCTTGAGGTTGCCTTTCAGCCCCAAGCCTTCGGTGACTGTGATTGCCGACTTGTTGTCCACTGAAGGACTGTCAACGGCCCAGTGTCCAGCAGCTGGAACTCGACGAGGAGGAAGCGTAGTCGGCGTGCCTCCTTGCCGGCCTCGGTGGCCGCGACGTACTCCGACTCGGTCGACGAGAGTGTCGCGTACTTGATGCGCTGGGTCGACCAAGAGACGGCAGCCCCTCCAAAGATGAACACGTAGCTGCCTGTGCTCGTCCGGTTCTTCTTGTCGCTGGCGTCGTCGGCGTCCACGTAGGCGATCGGACTCAACAAGTCTGGTCCACCGCCGAACTCCACGGCGGTGTCACGAGTGTCGGCGAGGTAGGCAAGGCAGCGGTCGACCAGTGCTGGTTGCTCCTCACCGTGAAGTTGCTCCCCAGCTTGCTGCAGGCGAAGGCGATGTCCGGCCTCGTTGTCGTCGCCGCGAACTGCAGCGAGCCGATCTTCCGCCGGTACTCCTCCTCCTCGCGCTCTTAAGCCTCCTTGTTGTTGAACGTCAGCTCGGCGTAGGAGTCGACGAAGACCGGCGTCTTCGGGACGTGCCCGGTCTGCTCCTTGTCGATGAAGCGCCTGCGCAGCGTGTTGACATAGCTCTGCTGGTGCAGCCACAGCTTCCTTGCCGGGCGTGTCGCGCACAATCTCTACCCCGAGTTACTTCACAACCGGCGAGATCTCGCGGAGCTCGAAGGCGGCTTTCAGTAGATCTTTTAGCTCCTTCAGCATCACGATGCTTCTGCTGGCGGCGAGCGGGTCGTCACAGAGACCAGCACCCAGCATGTCACCCCGTCGTCGCCGACCTTGAAGTAGAGTGCGTCGTCGACCTGACTCTTCTGCCAGTCGGCGCCGGTCAGCACGTCGTCGAGCGCCCTTGACTACAGACTGTTCAGTGGCTTGCACACGCGGCCGGTCCCGTCGTTGAAGTAGTCGGCTTGGTACATGTAGAGCACCCGGTCAAACTTTCTCTGCAGGGAGGCGTTCTTCGTGTCGAGCTGCATCAGTTTGAGGTCGAGGACGGTGACAATGCTGAGGAAGATCCTCAGCATGACGTAGCTCCCGACCGGCGTGTAGTTTTGTCGTAGTCGGTGCCGTACACCTGCGTGAAGCCCTTCACGACCAGCCTCGCCTTCTCGCGCTCAACCATGTCGTCGATGTAGTACTTCGTCGATGAGGTGTCTACGATCCTAACAGGATGTGGATGGGAGCACCGTGCACGATTATGACATGGATCCCCCTGATATGTACTGTGTTGGTCAGTCATGCCACATGGTGGTGGTGAGTTGTGTCATGTCGTTTTGGGTCATGGCATATTCCACTCCAGTAGTGCTTCATGATATATGGCAGTTCGTGCATCATACTGGGGAATCACTTTAAATTCACGCCTCCGTCCATCCATCTCTACTCCCCCTTCCCTCGCCGTGCTCATTCCTCCCATCTTGATTGCGTTTCTCCCTGGCACTGCCCACTACAGAAGCACCGGTGGTCACAATCCACGCGAGCAATGGTGAGACAGTCTCAGACATGCGAGCTTACATGGATGCTATCACGTTGTGCTGTGACAACTTAGTATCTTGTTCGCGTACTTTTCTCATTGTACTTATCGAAGTTCAATGCAGTAACGTTACCTTCACTCCGCCCACCAACCTCACTCCATCCTGCCAGCGCTCTTCTCTGCCCATCCTCTGTTTTATGATCTCTGTTACTCAACCTTCCCCTTCCTCCCATCCCTGCCCCTCCCTCTGTCCCCTTAACCCTCCTCGCCCCCCATACCCCGACCCCCAACTCTCACAGCGCAAGTGCCTCTGGAAGTAAAGGGCGCGCTGGGGTAACCTTCATAATGTGGGGGCTTCACAAGCCATGCACCACGGCTTCTGCCGGGCTGGCCATGCAGGCACCCTCACTGCCGTGTCCTATAACCCTTTCTGCAGAGTCCGCACCTTGTGAGTCAGCACCACTGTTTGCACTGCTGTTGTAGCAGCTGTTTGCCACCCGTGCTAATTATTCTGCTGTTTGACCGGTGTACTGTGCGTTGTGTGCACGTCAATGAGTTTTGGGTTCCTGGGTTTTGGGCGGCCCTGGTGTGTGCTGTGGCCAAGCGTGACAGCGGCATGGTAGTGTTAACGGGAATTGGAAGTTGGCCAAACTTTGTGGTCGACAGTTCGTCAAGCAGCGCGCACCTTTGCGAGGTCGTCGACGATAGGAGTTCGATGACAGTGGCCGACCTAGGTGGTCGATAAATGGGTTCGTCGCCCAGGGTGGGCACTGACCTCTACAAGGTGGTCGACGAAGGTGTTCCTTGACCTGCGGGGGGGCGTTGAATTGGTGAAGTCAACGAGAGGCATCGACCCGCGTGGGCGACGTGTACGTACATCTGTTGGCGAGCTCCGGCTGCCCAAGTCGACGCCGACTTGGCGGTTTCCCCGTCGACCAAATAACTGTCGAAGAGAAGGGCCTCGCTCTTGCTTGGGCGCAGCCGATCTCACCGTCGAAGAAAAGTTCTCGACAGAGGGGTCGTCGAGTGGGCTTCTACAGTTCGACGGAGGTAGCGGTCGAGCAGGCTCTGCTCGACGAAATCTGGTCGACATCGTCAGGCAGCGCTGGTCGAAGACCGTGCTCGACGAGGCCCATCGAGGAGCGTTGGTCGACGAGGCTCGTCGAGGAACGCTATCGACGGCAGTGGTCGACGAGCCCGTCGAAAGCTCTGGTCGACCAAACCACTGAGGTGTGCGAAACGCTGAGGAGTCGTGCGAAATTCGCCCAGGAGGATTTGGCGAAATTCAACCTGCGGAACGGCATCACGTGCTCGACGGTGAGCACATGGCAAAAACCGTCGACACGCTTTTTACCTGGCACCTGCGCAATGTGCCAGACGGTGAAACCGTCGACCTGCACCTAGTTGGTAGGTGTGCACATATGCGAAGATAGTCACATGCGACTGCAGATAGTCCCCAACGACTTTAGTGCTGGCAGACCACGCGTTGTGCAACGCTCGCAGACCGCTCTGCTGTGGCGTTGTCGAGCCGCTCTTCCGCTGCACTGGCTGAAGTCACCCTGCAGAGTGCTTGTTA